TCTCCGCCTGCCATTTTTACGTGTAAAAATTACATTGTTTCGGCAGGTGCCATAGTCATCCATAGCTCCCAATTTACCAGTCCACAGCAACCCATCCATAGCCCTACCTTTTTTTTTCCATTATTCACAATAGTCCTACACTAACCGGGGACTGTCCTTGGGTGCATTTCCATAGTGCATACAGGGATAGTCGCCGGTTTGTGTGTCCATTACATTTATATTAAAGTTGTCTAAAGGGCCTCTGCGCAGTTGGCTTCGGCCCCTCGTACGCCTCCCAAATGACCGGGACCCTGTGGTCCCGTGAATGGTAAAGACATACATAATAATAATAATAATAAATTGCTTGGCAAGTTTCGCGTAAAGGTTAAGTTGATTCTTTATGGTGATGTTGCCCGAATGTAACTATTTTTATTTGTTTTGTCCTTATGTTCACTTTTTGTTTTGCCCACTATTTATGTTCTCATTGTAAGTATCAATTGTCTTTATTGTACGTACCGTAAATTTTAAATTTTAAGTTTAATATTCAATTTGTCTCCGATACTAGTTCTTCTTAGTTATTTTGAATGTTAAATCCATGTCAATGGTTGGATTTGCCTGATCATAGTGATTTGTAAACCATTAAGTATATAATGCATGTTGTGCTTACCTATAATAGATTGATGCACTAGTATTTAAGTTTTCGTAAATGTAACCCTATATTGTATAAGTGTAATCAATTGTTGGTGAGCCAAATCAATAAAATAAATAAATAAATAAAGGAATTTATTTCTCTCAAAAAGGTACATACATAGAAACATAATATCACTATTTAAGTTACAAAAGGTTCAACCTTTGTGAGAGCTGGAGTCTATACTGGGTTCAAGACCTGTATGACAGATCTCCAGGTTCACACCCGATGTATGTACTGGTATAGATGGCGTTATATGTCATTTAAAACCAGTCAACGAATTACCTACTTATTGGAAAAATGTAAATAGCGCGATATAACCGAATTCCACGCGAGCGGAAAGCTATTTGTTTGTTTGCCTGTCTTAAACGGCAGAACGGAGGTACTAATTAACGTGATTTTTTAACTGAAGGTAGTTGAACGGATGGATAGTCACATAGGCTACTTTTTATCCTTTTGTGACGCGAGCGAAGCCGCGGGTAAAAGCTAGTATTAAATAAGGACCAAATTAAAAGTACCCTTAACCGACACACGAAAAGACTGATGACAGTTGATGAAGGGAAAGAGGTAGGTACCTATGTAAGAATCGTAGCAATTAGCGTTCCATAGTCTTTGCCTACCATGAGAGACAGGCGTGAAATCATGTAAGAAATATTACTGAACGTAATATTTAAAGAAAAGTAAAATAGCCAAGTCATAAAGCTCAATTTGAAAACCTGTTGATGTTTTTCAAACCACGATTTGCATTGTAACGCAATGGAAATAACTTAGTTTTAACTTATGTTATGGTTGGAGCTTAATGTTTTAACTTAACTGCTTGCGACATGAGCTCTGTCGCATAATGATTGAGTAATATACTTGTTATAATGCAAAATATGCATTCTTTCTTTGTTCATATACCTAATTTTGAAATAGATGTTTTCGTTGCTCTTTTAGCTTTTTCTTTATTCGATTTGAAGTCTTTTTTTAAACTCATCCAATTAATGCTCCCGCCCGGGTAAGGCGAGAGGGAGTGTCAGACTCTTACTGACTAAAACCACCCCGTTTCTATTCCCCGAAATCGTCTTGTGATTTCCGACGCCCGGCGTGTCTCTCGAGACGGCTGGGGGGGTGAAGTCTCCGTCTCCTCCTTAGCTAGCATTAGATTTTAAGTTTTGGAATTTTAATTTAAACACAACTGAATTAATTCATTATATTTTATCAGCCTATAAAAACCCACAGCTGAGACTTATCTTCTCACACGGAGAAGAAGCATTTGTCACCTTGCTTGCTTGCTTAAGATCGAGGGTTCCTCACAATATTTTCCTTCAAAGTTTATCAATGAGATCTTCTCTAAAGAAAATACTTTCATTCTAATGTAGACAATCTAGTTTCTATACGGTATCAAGCATTTCTTTCTTTATTGAAACAAAGAGTTTCCTTTTTCTTGTATAGAAGCACTATTTTTATGGATTGTCACTATGCATATGTGAGCACCATGTTAGACTATAAGATTTTTTTAAGTTTGTTTTGGTTTTTATTTAAGTAAGTTTTGTAAAGCTTCAAGCTTGTCGTTGCATTGTTCTCACATATGCGTACAGTATTGGAGTATTGGAATATGTATCAGAGACATTATAGATTTTTTTTTTTTAAAAGAGTAACGATTGGATTACCTATCTTGCTCGTTCTTCTACATTCGAATCTAAATTTTGGAATGAGCACTTAGTTTCACTGACGGACTGACTGACAGACTGTTTTGTATTTGTTGACGTTTCAAAAGTACCAAAGTATGGTTTAATTGAAATAAATACCTTTTGACTTATGACTTTGACTTTGAAACTTATATAATTTAAGAGTGTCTATTTTAATAAAATAAAATTATCCAATAATAACCCAACCTAACACAAAAGTTCTCATTTCTTAGTTCTATTCCTACAATCAAAACAGTGACGAAAGTTATCATTCGCATTTAAGTATTTTTTCAGCTAAAATAACATACCTAAATTGCAATAAGATAATAATATCGTGAGCTATTGAGATGAATCATTAGTGGGATCGTTTTGATGCAACGATGCCCACACATGCCAATATTAATCGATAGACAGTGGCATCTCATATGGTGGGTAACGTGGGCATAAACACAAGGTCATAAGGGATTGTATTGAATGAAGAATTATAATTACATACAGTTTTGTAATAGATAATTGTTATTACAGAATTACTGGTTTATTTTTATAGGTAATTCTATTTTATTGTAAATTGTAAGTGCTGCTATTGAGGTGAGAGGTAATAATATACAGTGAGTGATTGTATAAAATATTATCTTAAGTTTTTTCATTTCCATTTCATTGCTTTTATCTTAAGTTTTAAGATAATTCAATTTTAAGAAATATTGAATATATCGTTGCCTGCTTCGTTGGCCAAGTGGTTGCAAGTGCGATTGCCAAGCAAGGTGTCTCGGGTTAGATTCCCCTGTCGGGAAAACTGTTACTGGGTTTTAAAAAAAAGATCTCAGTAGTGGCTGAGTTTAGAATTGTGCCCGGTATATGGCAATAGGCTCACCCCCTATTACATGGGACTCATAACATAAATAGTGAAAAGTGGGTGTTACATTGTACAGTGGGATTCATGTCGGAATACTGAAACGCTACTCAATTTTAAGTCGCGCTCAAATATCGTGCCGTCTCTGTCATTTTACAAAGAATTTGTAGTGACAGAACTATATATACTTAAGTGCGACTTAAAATTCAGTAGCGTTTCAGTATTCCGACATAAGTGCCGTAATGTATCGCATCTCTGCCTCCCCCTTCGGGGATAAAAGTCGTGATGTTATGTTATGTTAAACATATCGAGATGTTCAAAAGAAGTGTAGGTACATATTTATTTAATAACTTGCTTCTGCCCACGACTTCGCCCGCGTTCCCGTAGGACAAAAAGTAGCCTATGTATTAGTAGCTCCTATTCCAAAGTTCATCTCGATCCCTTTAGCCGTAATCAGGTGATTGACTAACAAATATACAGACAAACTCACAAACTTTAGCATTTACCTATAATAATACTAAGACTAATTAAAATTAGTTTTGTGTCCCTATTCAAAAATATTAAAATATATATAAATATGTATTAGTCCCAGGATTAGGTAGGTCTAAATGATTTTTGATTCTGCCGTTAGGTACCTAGATACCTAACCATGAAAAGTAATCTATGGATGAACTTCATAGCATGGTTGCAAGAATCGAACCCGTAACTCATTGCTTTTTTTAAGGGGGTAAATCATCGAATGACTGCTCCCGCCTGGGTGAGGTGGGAGGGAGTGTCAGACTCTTACTGACTAAAAACCACCCCGTTCCTTTTCCTTCACGTCGAGCCGGAGCCCCGGTAACCCGTTAGGTTCTCCGCGACGTAACTCATTGCTTAACAGACGATCGCTCAGCCACTATATCAACCGTGCAGTTAATTGACCTACTATTCTTTCACTTCTTGCTTATACCATCAAATTGCCGCTGATAGTAGAATCACAATTTATAGGGCTTCAAATTCGTGCATAAATGGCGTTAAAATAATATTTTAATTGATATAAAACAGTTACAAAGTTTACGTAAACTATTTCTTTCATTGGTAAATCACAACAATTATATCGTGTGTATGTGTGTTTGTTACGACATTAGTCAGACGTGCCCTTGTGGGTAAACTGTTGCTTCTATACCAATTATTCAATTAGACAACTTCTTGATATTCTTGTAATAGTAGGTGCGTCCACGTCTTAAACTATGTGAATTTTGTGGCAAAGAATGTGACTACTTATGTACGATGTCGTGGTGATTTGGAGGTTACGGTACACACTGGTCAAGCTTGGAGCTGTGGATTCGAAACCTTACATAGTTTTAATTTCATATGGTAGATTTCAAACGCCCGCTTCTCATGCATGAGGGCGCGAGTTCGAAACCTACCAACAGCAAGTACCAATGTGACTTTTTCCGAGTTATATGTACTTTTTAAGATTATTCAGACACCACTGACAAACGGTGAAGGAAAACATCTTGAAGAAATCTGGGCTTATAATTTCTAATTATAAGTTTGTAATTGCCAACCCGTATTGAGTAAGTGTGGTGATTAATGCTCAAACCTTCTCCGTGTGTGAAGAGGCTTTGCTCGGCTATAGGTTTATAGGCTGTTAATGAATGAATGAATTTCATGTCATAGTTATCATTTTTATTGACAAAATTCAACCAGTTAAATATGAATACTGACATGCTGATCTTTTGTTTATAGCCACTTTCCCGCATTCCATCAACTACTTTCGATTTAGGAATCCCAAAACAGTAAATATAACGAGATCTTTTCTACATTTCAGGCAAAGATGTCGTCATAGAAGATGGCGTTGAAACTGAAATACAAGGACGAACACGGCGTCGTGCAAATAAACATGTCGCCGACGTCCAGCCCGAAGGAACCCGACAAAGACCTGACAGGACCGAAGTTCGACACCATCAACAACAGATTCGCACAGTACGACCTCTTTGGAGGGAAGTATGATGTCGACTCGGGAGGGGAGACGCCACGGTCACTCTTCCGAAGCCGCTACAACTCCATCGAGGAGGAACTCGCCAACACTCCGTACGCCTTCACGACCGACCGCTCACTCAGACTCAACAGCGCGAACAAACTCGACATTACGATCCAATCGCGCGACGAGACATCACCGTCTAAAGACATACAAGACGACCGATTCTTCAAACGCCGATTAAGTTTGGAATACGATGAATCGTTATTCGGGCCGCAAATCGATTTTAAAGTGAACGATTCTGGAACTCCTGCGTTTACTGTGACGCAGCTGATCCACGCTCAGGATCGATATTTCGATTTATCGGGCCGACAATCGGAGAGCCCTTGTGGTAAAGTGTGTTCGGAAGTGCATGTGCCAAGTCCTAAGAGGAATGAGGAGGCGTTCAGGGTGCTGTCTGCTGATGTGAAGAGTGGGAGACAGGAACCGGTGCCTGTGGCTAAACCGTGAGTAGCTTTTTTGATGATTTTATTACATTTAAATTGCGAAAATCTGAGTTAAAGATTAATATTATTTGGAATGTTGATAAGAATTTAAATTAAATAAATATATACAATTTAAAATATAAATAATTTAAAACTAAAATATTTACACCGTATAAATATTATTTATGAAATATTATTTTATTTATTCATACTTTTCAATAGGCATTCTTTTTTAAAAATATTTTACACTTACCTACGCCTTATACGTACTTGTATATTTTTTAATTCCATCAAATTAAGATAAATGTGTTTTTAATTATGACTGCGCATACACATTGAAAAAAATAGACTTTCGCCTCAATTTTTGATAGTCATACCTACCATAACATAAAAACTAAAACAACGAAGCACTTTACTTATATCTACTCGGAAGTTTTAGACATAGGTAGTTGGTTAAATTAGATAATTACACAAATAACTATAAAAACATTCTAAACGGCATAGGCTCTACGTCTGCCGGTACCTCTGTAATTGTTTCGCGGTAAAAAACAACGATGATACTGTAATTTTGTTACTAAAATTACAGTCCACTACTGTAGTAATTTGGTTAAATACATATTTAGTTTTGGTATAAACAAATGATACATTTTTTTTAAACATAAGTTCCAGAAATTCATGTGAGGTACTCAAAAACAAAATTAGGTACTCATACACAATCATAGACTTAATTTTCATGTTTGTTAAAAGAAAACAGTTATAAGTTAAGGACGAAAACAAGCTGAAAATAAAAATTATCAACCGAATTTTAAAAACGTCTTCAAATATTTATAAAAATGATAATTGGTTTGTCTAAAGGGCATCTGCGTAGTTGCCTTGATTGGTAAAGACTTACATAAAAAAAACTATTTAATAAGGATTTCTGCGCATCGTGAGGAGGTTCCTGTGCCTATGCACTGGTAGCTTGGACCATGTTCCCGCTACTGATTGGCTCCTATTTTTATATTTCAAAATACTATTTTTTTACTGCCTCGTTGGCCGAGTGGTCGCAAGTGCGACTGCCGGACAAGGGGTCTCGGGTTCGATTCCCGGGTCGTGCAAAGTATTACTGATTTTTAAAAAAACTCAGTAGTAAATGGAAATGTGCCCAGTATATGGCAATAGGTTTACCCCCTATTACATGGGACTCATAACATAAATAGTGAAAAGTGGGTGTAACATTGTACAGTGGCATAATGTACACCTCTGCCTACCCCTTTGGGGATAAAAGGCGTGATGTTATATATGTAAAAATACTACATTTTTAAGTAATATTTGAAAACATAATTTTGGAGAATTTTAAACAGTTAACTGAATGTAAATAATAATAATCTGTGTTAATTATCTGAAGCGCTAATAAACGTATATTAGCGCTTCAGATAATTAACACAGAGAAGCTCTGGCTCTTGTACTAGGTATCCCTGTACAACAAGAGCCAAGTCTCTCAATATACATGGAAACATTGCACCATGTGAGAAAATTGTCACACACTTATCAAATAGCCACAAGAAAAATACATAAATGATAAATACATCTGAAATAACTTAAGAGATTCCCATCAGTCAGCTAACCTTACAAATAAACCAAAAACACAATAAATCTTTAAACAAATAAACGTTGTAAATACAAACTAAATTAGAGACATAAATAACTGCTCATCAGAGATCACACATCTCGAAAATAAACGGCACAAATGGACAAAACAAAACACAATTTATTGTATAGTTTCCTAAAATAGTCATCAATGGATGTCTCCTAAATTTAAACCGACGCAACGCTGCTTTGGTTTTATCTGTTGCTAGAACTTTTGTACTCAGTGGTCTATTTGCTAACATAAATTTGGTTGGAAATTGTTGAGCTGTTTTGGATAATAGCTCGTTTGAACAAACTAACATATGTATGTTGGGCTCGCTGCCATTGCAGCGGTAAGTCCCCTCTTTGAGGAGTGGCTTGAGAGACGCTACGGCGTCCTCACCTACCGCCTGACGCAGGTCCTCACCGGACATGGAAGTTTCGGGAGGTACCTGTGTCTGATGGGGTGGGAGGAAACGCCCGGGTGTCATCACTGCGAGGACCGCCCTGAGGACACGGTGGAACACACAGTGGGAGAATGCCCTGCGTGGGCTGAGCACCGCCGTGCCCTCAGGGAAGTGATCGGCGATGGCGACCTCTCGCGTCCGGGCCTAGTGCAGGCCATGATGCGGAGCGAGGGGGACTGGGATGCCGTCTCCTCCTTTTGCGAAGCAGTCATGCTAGCTAAGGAGGAGGCGGGACGCGTGAGGCAGCGAAGCGCTGCCTCCTCGCAACCCAGCCATCGCGAAGGACACACCGGGCGTCGGGGGCGGGACGATCTCCGGCCACCGTAAGCGCGGGCCTGCGGACGGCGAGCATGGGTGGCTCCCCGTCCGACCAGAAACAGACCCGAGCGTACGGCGCGTCGCGTTCCGCGCGCGCCTCAAAGAGCCATCAGACCACCACAGATGGGGCCCAATAGGGCCGATGCCGATTCGGAGTCGCGGAGAACCTAACGGGTAACCGGGGCTCCGGCTCGACGTGCAGGAGAAGGAACGGGGTGGTTTTTAGTCAGTAAGAGTCTGACACTCCCTTCCGCCTCACCCAGGCGGGAGCAGTCATTCGATGATTTTCCCCCCTTAAAAAAAAAAACATTTATTTATTTACACATAACATACAAATATCCTTACAGGCTAGACCCAATGCGATATTGCAGCAAATATTAAAATAACAATAATAAACGAAAATACAAACACGAAATATCCATATACTCTTTAAAATATATAATAAAAGCTTTTACTACATATAGCAAATCCTATGCATGGCTGCTCGTGTAAATTCTCCTAAAGAGCAACAGAATATGTCTACGTCATTAGCAACGAGGTTCAGAGTGCGAAGCGCACACGTGAGCGGTGCCTCCCGCAGCAAGTTAGTTCGCGACCGTGGTTCTGCCAGTAACCGCGGCTGGCGACGACGACTCACGTATCCATCGGGCACGACCAGTTCAACCATTCGCAATATATCCGGATTGTGTATCTTCCCCCTAATTATCTTAAAGATATAAGTCACCAATGCGAGTTGCCTCCTGACCTGTAGTCATTATATCCAACCATACCCAAGACAAACAGAGTTGGATACATTAATGGGTAGAATGGATATACCCCGAACTCCCTCATATACTTATATCTCATGAATTTATTCTGTACTCGTTCAAGCATGAGACTGTACTTAGTTTCGTGTGGAGCCCAGATCACTGCATTGCATTCAAGCTGGCTTCTCACTAAGGCATTATATAGTGTCGTTATAGCTCTCATATTTGTGAAGCCTCTAACCATTCTAAGTACAAACCCTAGATTTCGATATGCTTTCTTGCATACCTCGACTATATGATTACGAAACGTGAGCCCAGAGGTAAAACGAACTCCTAAGTCTTTAATCTCCATGACCCTATTCAGCGGTACCGCATCCACCGTATAAGTATGTGTGACGGGTGAGTGTGCGCGTGAGAAACTTATGGTCGCACACTTAGACGTGTTAAAATGCAGGAGATTACATTGACTCCAAGCAACTACTCGGTCTATATCGCTTTGCAGCTTTTCACAGTCATTTACGTTTGTGATGGGGAGGTAAAGCTTAAGGTCGTCAGCAAACAGTAAGCACTTAGCATCCTGAACAACGTTCGGCAAGTCATTAACCATTAGTAAAAACTCTAGGGGCCCTAGATTGTTCCTTGACTTACTCCCGACCTAGTGTAGTAAGTGTTCGATTGATGCCCTGCGTAGTCAACATACTGCTGCCTGCCACTCATATAACTCGCAATAAACTTAAGCAAGTGTGGAGTGAAACCGACCGCAGCTAATTTTTTAAGTAAGACGTCGTTATCAACCAAATCGAACGCTTTTTTAAAATCAAAATATGCAGCATCGATTTGCCCCCCACTGTCCACTGTTGGTACCACATCTGCCATGTAACAAAGTAGGTTGCTGGTGGTATTTCTAGTTGGCCGAAAACCATGCTGCGCATCTGTGAGTTGCACGCTAACTTGCCGATAAACATTCGCATAAATACTTGACTCCAACACTTTAGCCATAGTTGACAATATTGCAACCGGTCTGTATTCTTCAACTTTAGTTCCCGAACCTCCCTTCGGCACCGGTATGACTCGGGTAATCTTCCACATCTCTGGAAACTCTGATGTTTTGAGGCAAAGATTGTAGATATACAGCAGCGGTCTCGCTAATGCCATACGACAGTCTCTGAAAATGAACGGCGGAATACCATCAGGCCCTGACGATCTTTTCGGCTTAAGTTGGTGAAGAGCGCGAACCACTTCATCTAACCTCAACCTGTCAAGGTGAACTCGCCCTGCGCCGTTCTGACTGCCCGCTTCACGTATCGCTGCATCCACATCCAACCTAGGTGTTTTTGAACTGTATACAGAATAAAAATATTCAGCAAATTCCTGGACCGCTCGCTCACCTGTCACGGCCTCTCCGTCCTTTAATATCTTACGACTACCGGCTTTACCTCTTTTAGAATTAACATAGCACCAAAAAGACTTAGGGTCTTCAGACAAATGGGTTTGCAAGCGTTGACGATATTGCTCCTGTGCTATAAAAATCTTATTTTTGACTTGGGTCCTACATTGGGCAAACGCTTCGTAATCACTCCTTAGACCGCTAATTTTATACATCCTGTGAAGAGTAGCTTTGAGCTTTATGTCGCGAATTATTTCACCCGTATACCACTCGGGATAAATATATCTCGAGGGTACCCGGCTTCGCTTTTTTCTGGGAACACAGCTATCTATAGATGCATATATCGTCTCATAGAAGTACTTTAAACTCATATCCAAATTCAAGTTACGGGCATATAAAGGAGTCCAGTCTACTGCAGCGATTTTAGAATATAATTGACAAATCGGTTTATGAAAGTTCCAACTGACCTGCGTACGCGTTTCCGATGATGAAGTA